TGAGTATGCAGTTAATGTATAGACTTGTTATATTGCCTCTCCTTGTAAAGCACATAATTCCCTTTCACAATAAAATCTAAGCAGAACAAGTCTAAAAATTGTTCTTAGGTAATTCCAGTGTGCAGTTGAGTTTGGGAACCAGTGGATTAAAGACAAGTGATTCTCAAAGCATGGTCTCAGAAGCAATAGCATTATCTGAGATCTTTTAGAAATGTCTTTCAAAATGTTGTATTATTTTCTGAGAAACTTAAAGTACTTCACTTGTTCTGAAACAAACTCTTCCACTAGCTAAAACAGAAAAAAAAAATAAATGAACACAAACATTATAACCTAAACTTTTTTAGGATCCCAGTTAGAAGTGAAGTGAAAACAGAAAAAATGGACTAACCCCCGTGCAGTAGTTAAGGAAGTCATATCTTATGACTGACCATGGTTCAAATCCTGGACCTATTGGCTTGATAAAATGTTGGGTACATGTATGTTCATGTCCCAAATCTTGACAAGAAGAAAGAATGAAGCAAAGAAGATTGCAATGTGACCATGCCCTGTGGGGGCATGTTTGTGGGAGTTCTCTCTCTCTCTCTCTCTCTCTCTCTCCCCCCACCCTTCGTAAGCACATATACCCTCTGTCAATAAAAACTAAATGAATTTTTAAAAGAGAGAGAAAGAGTGCTTCAAAAGAGAGCTTCAGCTTACAGTATTCATTAATGTCCAAGATATAGAATATATATATTCTATATATATAAAATATCCAAGAATAGCAATTTCTTATTAAGCCTTTATTTTGAGCCAGATACTATTCTAAGAACGGTATGTATACTAGCTTATTCATTTATGCCTCACAACAACCCTAATTACTAATTACCACATTTTTATGATTTAGGAAAGAGAGATAAAAAATAGGTTACATAACTCATCGAAGCTTCAACACTTGTAAGTGGCAGGACCAGGATTCAAGGCTAGGCAGCCTGGCTTCAGAGCGTGTGTCTTTAATCAAGAATCTATGCAGAAAGCTGGGGAACTTGGCCTCCATTGTTAATTCTCTTCCTCTGAGACTGGATCACACGCCAGAAATAAACATTTCAACTTTGCTTCTCACAAGAATGTTAATGAATCAAGCTAAAGAATCACTATTGCATGCTGAGAAATACAATACAAAGATAATAAATACATGATAAAAACATGCAACCATTTCCTGTGACATGTTTTACTCACAAGAGTAAAATCATCCACTGTGGAACACATAGGGCACTGAAGATGAATCCAAAGGAATGCCAGTTAGCTTTCATCAACACTTTTATAACTGCATCAGGTTATATAAACCAAGTCCAATTAAGGTAACTCCTTTATGGTAATTTCTGCTCTGGGCCTTAGGCCTATAAATGAAGACTGATGAAGTCACTGTGGGATACTGCAGTATGGGTCATTACTAATTGACCACTCACTGAAAAGCCATGCTGTCACATCTGTCACTCTGGATTGTGGCATCACAGATTCTCTTAGTTCTTCAGTTAAATTATCCAGAACACGTGGCTTGATTAGTTTAAATTTACTTCCACAAGCCTTAATTTTTATCGTCAAAAGATGTCTCTGGTCTTCCTTTCTCCTTCCCACAGCTGCTCCTCATTCCATAGTGAGCCAATAGAAAACCTTATTTACAATAAATTCTAATTGCATTTAATTTATTAACTTCAAATGCTAATTCTATTCAGTTTAATAACATTGGGTTGTAATTTTTAAAGTTTCCTAATGAAGACTTGATTTCCTGAATGGCAGTTACTTACATGCTAATATGCTAGAACTTGCCTTGTTCCCTCTTCTGGAAGTCACATACATTGTTACTAGGCAGGTTATAACTCCTTGTATTTAAAGACACACAATGAGTCATAAAAAGGCATTCTTAGTAAGTAATCAACGTATCACTAAAAATAAAGAGAACTGAGACTAATTTGAAAGTACAGAATCAGTTGGCATTCCGCTTAATACCATAAATATTTTTAACTAGGACTATTTGGTCCTAAGAGGATCATTCAGGTCAGTTCCAATCAAACAATGGAAAAGGACTTAATTTTGTGTGCCCGCGCGCGCGCGCGTGTGTGTGTGTGTGTGTGTGTGTCTGTGCGTGTGTAGGGGGGTTGGGGGGTATTTTGAAGCATCTTGAAATTATTGCGGTTAAGGAAAAAAAGTACTGAAATTACCTCACCTAACCTTTGTGCCAGTATAGACACGTTTGCTGTGTCCTCATTTTACTTTCTTTCATATTTTCTCGAACAAAGCTTGATGTAACTAGATAAGGTTTCATTTTATTCTCTCTGTCAAGAATCTGAGAAACATCAGATAGTACTTCTATACTAGTTCTCTTGAAGACCACATAATGCTCTCTCACCATTTAAATTTTCTGTTATAAAAAGGAGTACTCTGGAAAGTAAATTTTAAGTTCATTTAAATGTAAATGTTAATAGAGTCTAAATTGCACAAGAAGATGAAATTCTTCACCACAGTGACTAGAGAAAGACTAATCTACTAAAAACTTTCCTAGAAAGTTTCATATTAACATGCAGTAAAATCCTGGTAAAATGGAAAAATTAACTTATAAGCGGGCAATTGGCATGTGAATACAAAATGTGATCACATATTTTTCATTTTACAGTGTTTGGTGGTTAGGTTATCATTCTTTAGTTTTTGTTGTATATATTTTCAACTAATAAATATCTCATGTACATAATGGTTACATCATTGGACTCCCACATAGTCAACCACAATTCGAGCACCGGACCCGATGCCTTAAAACTCACAAACTCATGCCAGACATGTGTGTATGTGCCCAAAATCCCGAGAGGAGAATGGAGGAGAAGGGATTGTGGCGTGGCCATCCCCCTTGCAGGGGGGGGAGGTGGGTGATTTCTCACCTTCTGTTTCTCTGGCAAGAGCACGTGTCCTATAGCAAAAAGCTCTTAAAAATAAATAATAAAATAAACATAAACATAAATAAATAAATATCTCTTGTAGTATGCTAGACACTTTAAAAACATTATTTCATTTAACCCTGATACTCACATGAGAATTACCAGGTAAACATCCTACTACTACTGTCCTATTTTATAAATGAAGAATGTAAATCTAAGCCAAGTCTTGCCACTGGCCAAGGGCACAGAGAAGCAGAAGAGCATATCTTGAACCCAGGTCTGCCTCGGACCAAAGTTCCTGTCTCTAACCACTGCCTATATTTCCCCCAATTTTCTCAGCACAAGCTTAGTACATGTCCCTTCATAAGTCCATATACCTCAGAAATTGGCACAGAATGATAGCAGCTTGGAAAATCAGAGTTCTCGGTACAGAAAGTCGTGGTATGGTTTAGCACTGTGTTCACTGCCACATACATGTGCTTAGACTGGAGTCGAGCCCATTCTAGAAGTTCTTATCCAGCGTCAGCTTTTCTAATCCATTTAAGCCCATTTGCAAATTCACTCTATTTCTTTACTCATGGCTTAGGAACAGCTGGAACTTTTTAGCCAAAAATGTAAAATCTCAAACCTCTATTAAAAGAATAAAAAAGGATCCACTTTAATAATCCAAAAACCTGCAGTGCTGAATTCCCTTTCACTTGGGAGAATAGGCATGAATTCTTTAAACTAGCAATTGTTTGGGGGGGGGGGCGGAATACTGCATACGAGTTCTGTAATCTGTACTGATGACAGTTATGAACCAAGATCATCTCATCAGGGACCAAAGATTCATGTTATTACAGATTAAAGACTCTTGTGTATATTTCTTCCTTGGCTTCACTTCGACTTAGAAAAGGAAAAAAAAATATATTCTATCCTCTCCTAAATCAAGTATGCAAATTCTATGAAAAAATTACTTGAGATGATGTTAAATCTCTACCCTTTTTAGGATCCTCCAAAATCCACAGTAATTTTTTTTAGTGGGCAAAACCCTGCCAGTGAATATCTAAGATTTTCTGAAAACTGGTCTGTTCTCTCCTGACCCCATGGAGAGAATCTGCAGGTGTCTGCCCTTTCCTTAACTGGGCTACAACCCAATCGGTCACAAACTTGAGCAAGTACTAGCATCATCTGGGAGGCTTAAAAACACAGATCGCTGGGCCCTAACCCCAGAGATACAGATTTGGTAGGACTCTGGTAAAGCGAGGGCCCTGGATTTTGCATTTCTAAAAACTTCCAGGTGAGGATACTGCTGGCCATGAACTGCACTGAGAATCACTGCTCTAAGGCACTGGCTCCTAAACTCCCCTGCACACTGAAATCACTTGAGAACAGGTTTTTGTTGTTTTGGTTTTTTTAAGTTTTGTTTTGTTTTGTTATGTTTAATGTTGATGCCCAAAGTCCCAGCCCCAGAAAGTCTCACTAACTAGTTTGGGGTGCTGCTCAAGCACTCAGTGTTTTAAAGTTCGAGAAGTCTATGGTGCAGCACCTTCCCAACTTCATTTTGTACATAATAAATACAATATCATCTGGCCATTTTAAAAGGGGTTTGTTTATGGTTTTTTAACTTTTGGTTTTTGTTTGTTTGTTTGTTTGTTTTTTGTTGTTTTTTGTTTTTTGTTTTTAATAAAAGAACCTTTGGCACAAGCTACATATCCCCAGACCCACAGCCCTAGGTGCACAACATCACACTCCGAGGCACGCCATGTGCGGATACTGAGACCCTTCCAAAAAGATCAAAGCAGAGGAAGATGAGCTTCGGGGAGTAAACTGCCACACGTTATTCATTCTCAGAGGCTAAACTCTTCAAGACAGAAATCAGTGCCCAGCGAACCTCCTAAGATTCATTACCACCAAGTAATTTTGCAAGACCAATCCTAACATTGCCTCCAGCCCTGGGCTCAGAACTTACAGGACGATTCACTAATCACCTCAGCTCAGGGAGAAACTGCACCCTCAGGACACCCAAAATGCTAAACTGCAGTCCCGTAGGCTAGCCCTGAAAGCCCCCTAGACGTGCTCTGGCCAGAGAAGGAGAAGGCGGTGCCGCATTACCTGGTGCGGGGTCGCGGCTCCAGTGGCCTTTGCAGCCAGTTACGTGTTGTTTCAGAAGCACAGGGGTGTCCCAGGCAGTGGCGAGCCCCAACCTGGGCAAGACCTAGGTTGTAATGAGTGTGCAGCCCTCCGCCCGGAGTCCGCTCTCCCTGCTGCGCTGGATAGAGTGCAGCGGCTCGGAAACGCTCTCAGCCCCCTGGAGGCGGAGCCGGGAGATAAGGTCCCCGCTTCTCACCCGCCCCCTTTCCTGGGACGAAGGCCAGAGGGTGGGTTTTGGATCTGGATCTAGAAGTGCGAACTGCTAGCATAACCCTGGTAGAAACATACTCGGTTCAAATCCTGATAGGACCATGAAATGTATGAGGGAACCGCAAGGGAAAAGGCAGAATGAGCGAATACTAAGAAAGCAAGTGAAAAGAGGCAGCTCAGAGGTCGAACGGGAGAATTCGAGAGACGTAGAGACCTGGAGAAACTCGCCTAATCTGATCAAAGAGGCTCCTCTCTTGGAGATAAGAACTCCCCCTGGGACGCCAGGGTCAGTCGCAGGGGACTGGTGTGCGGGAAATAAGTGCCTAAGGAATAAGCAACAGAAAACCTAGGGGAGTTTCCATTCAGAGTCAGGGAGGCAATTACTTCTGAGGATTTGGGAGTTTGAGAGTTAGACGGAAGACCTGGAGTAAGGTGACTGCCTTAGGGCGATAAAGAGAAACTCCGTGCTTTGTCCCCTTAGAGTCCATTCTTCACAGAGCAGACACAGTCCACTAACATGCATGTATTTAGAACCTCAATACCTTTCCTCTGGCCCCAGGCTGACTCACCTGTCACCTCCTCTTCACTCTGCTCTCCCTCCCCCTTTCCTTTCTCAGACATACCAACGTGTTCTCATCTCATCACTTCTGCTCCCCAAACTCTGTTCCAGACCTTTTCACAGTAGCTTGGTTCTCTTCATTCACGTCTGCTGGAATGTCACTTCAGTGAATCCTTCCTCCTCCACACCCCATGCAAATGGAGCCGCCTTACTTCCATTTCCACCCCCAACCCTGCTTTCTTTTCAACCTACCTGTTCCTGCTATTTGAAATTTTATTATATTTGTTGTTCTTGTATTTCATATCCAATTCATGAAAAGCTCTCCGAGGGCTAGGAATTTCTCTTAATACCAGCTTTATCTCCTGCACAAATAACAATGCCTAGAACACACAAGGTACTCAGTAAATGTTGTCTGAAAAATGTGTACATTTCTTCTTATGGAAGAAACTTCAAAGGAAAAAATAAAATGCCTTCAGTAGCTGACTCTCGCTGAATTCTGGCTAGATTCAAATATCTTGGAATGATCATCATTTCTTATCCATTTCCTCATTCATGCATGTTATAGTTTATTTTTATGCAAATATGATATGTGTAAATTGCCTTGGATTTGGCAGTGAATTCTTAAATATGACACCCCAAGCACAAGCAATTAAAGAAAAAAATTGGACTTCAAAAATAAGAAATATGCTTCAAACAATATCACCTAGAAAGTGAAAAGACAGACCACAGACTGTGGGAAAATATTTGTAAATTAAATATATCCAATAAGATTCTTATATGAAAAGTATATAAAGAATTCTAGTGACTCAACAATGAAATGACAACTTGATTTAAAAATAAGTAAAGGATTTAAACAGACATTTTTGTAAAAGATATACTAGAGGCTAATAAGCACATGAAAGGATGCTCAACATCATTAGTCTTTAGAGAAAAGCAAATTGAAACCACAAGCAAATACATTTCATACCCAGTAGGATGGCTAAAATCAAAAAGACAAACAATAAGTGTTAGTGAGGATGTGGAGAAATTGTAATATTCATACATACCTACTGGGATTGTAAAAATGGTTCTGCCACTGGGATCAGCAGATGGTGTAATAGTTAGATTCGTTGATGAACTCCCACGTGGTCACAATGAGTCCCAGATCCAGCGGCTTAAAACTCATGCAGGGCATGTGAGGGTATGCCCAAAATCCTGAAAGGAGAATGGAGGAGAAGGGATTGCAGCATGGCCATCCCCTCTGGGATGGAGGGTGATTTCTTGCTTTCTGTCTGGCTGTCTCTCTGGTGAGCACATGTACACTATAACAAAAATCTCTCTCTAAAAATTTTTTTTAAAAATGGTTCAGCCACTTTGAGAAACAGTTTGGCCATTCCCTGAAATGTTAAATGTAGAGTTACTATATGGACCAGCAATTCCACTCCTAAGTTTATAGCCAAGAGAATTGAAATCATATATCTACATAAACATTTATATGTGAACTTTGATTTTGTTACTTATAATAACCAAAAGTGGTAAAAACCCAAATATTTATTGACTGAAGCTGATAATAAATGAACAAAATGTGATATACCCATACAATGGAATATTACTTTGCCATAAAAAAGGAATAACATGCTGCATGCTAAATATGGACAAACCTTTAAACAAGTTAGATCAAAGAAGTCAGACACAAAAGACCACATATTGTGTGATTCCATCTATATAAAATTTCCAGAACTGGCAAATTCATAGAGACAAGATTAGTGGTTGCTAAGGACTAGGGGAAGGGAGAAACAGGAATGACTAATAATGAAGGTGGGGTTTACTTTGGGGAGACAAAACATCTGAAATAGGACAGTGGTGATGGCCATGCAATTCTGAAAATACTAAAAACTATTAACTTGTTCGCTTAAAAATAGTAAATTTTATGCCATATGAATTATATCTTAACTTTAAAACACTGATTTTATATTTAAGTGGATGCATTTTATGACATATGAATTATATCAATAAAGATATTATAAAAATGAGATATAAAATGTACTGGTTTTAACTGAACTGTAGCACTTTCTCTGAAATTTTGTCATGACTCTCTTAAACACTAATCTAGTCCTAAATGAACTTAAATAATTTTTAAAATTATGTCTGACATGATCATTGTTTATTTCACCATCCTCACTCTCAAAACCATTTGGCACATGCGTACTTAGGGAAATAGTCACAGCATCCTTTGAGACAACTCCCTTGTTAAAAAAAAAAAAAAAAAAAAAAAGAAAAAAA